ATAGCGGATTCAATATGGTGGACGAATTTTAAAAAAATTAATCGAATTCACTTGAAACTTGTTACTCGGGGGTTTTCGGGGTCGCTGATTACGAATCTGAAGTCCGATTTTCAAAATTCAAAATGGCGGACGAATTGTAAAAAATTTATTAAATTTTAAGTAACCATAAGGAATATAGTGAAAAAAATGCGCGTGAATATTTTTTTTGAATATGGTGAACATATTGAAAATTATTATCAGCCATATGTATATATATTACGCCAATGTGGAATTATTATATTCTCATAAGGTAAAATAAACGAATGACTATATACTTGATGGAGGTCAGTTAATTTTGTTTGGGACCGCAAGAGTTTGCATGATTTTCAACGCGCAAACATTCGGACAATATCCAGAGGGCAAAAGACCAGGACCTTTGTCGCCTCTCGATTCATTATTGCCCGTGAGTGCATAGCCGTCAGTCATTTCGGTAAATTGTTATTCGCTGCAGTTCGAACCTTCAATCACGCTGATTGACGTTGTACTTTATACATACACAGTACCGTTAAACGCGTGCTGGAGAGAGAGAGAGAGAGAGAAAGTACGTGCACACGCGTCATGTCATGAACGTTCACGTTTATCATTTTCCGCGTATTTTGCTATCTCGTTCGCCACGAAACAGTCAAGCTTAATCAAAACAGGCAAACCGAGCTCCCGATTAAAGTACTAATTGCGTCACGTTGTCCTCAATCATCAAGAAACCACTTATCAGTTTTCAGAATATAATAACATATACGATCTATAATACTCGGGAGAGAGGAGGGAAAGATTTTTTTTTTCAGTCTTCACAGTATATTTGCTGAAAAAAGGGGGGAATAGGGGAAATTTTATTTAAAAAAAGGGGAAAAATAGGACAAAATTTAAATGAAGAAAAAATTCTAAATAATTGTACAAATTATTCGAATTCATAATTTTGGCAAATGTTTTAAATAATTAAATTTTCAAAGAAATTGATTAAAATATTATTGAAAAAAATTAATTTATGAATTGAAATTGTTGTAAATTTGAATTGCTGAAAATTATTGACAAAATTTTAAACAGTAATGGAATTTTAAAGAATTTTTCATGAAAAAAATTTGAATTTTTGAAAAACTGAATTAAAATGATTGAAATAATTAATTTAAAATTATCACAACAATAGGACTTGCAAGAAAGTTATTTATTTTGCAGAATAAAATGTGACTTTTTAGGTTAAAATTAAAAATTTATAATTATAAATGTTTGAAGATAATTTATTCTTTTGTATCAAATAAGTTGTATCTTGACAATTGGCAGCAAGATAAAAAAAGTTATCGCTCAATGCATAAGAACTTGAAAATCAAAGTCAAACTGTTTCAGTATTTTGTCGAGCATTTCAAAGAAAATAGACTTAAAAATCATACCAAATTTTTTTCTTATTCCTTATAACTCCCATAACAGAAATTCACAATTTTTGATTTTTGTCAATTTGGTTTTAATAATGACAAGCTGTCCCCATTTACCCTGAGTTTTCAAGTTTTTTGGGGTAAATAGGGACAGCTTGTCATTATTAACCAAATTAACAAAAATCAAAAATTCAAGTGAATTTCTGTTATGGAAGTCATAAGGAATAAGAAAAAAATTTGGAATGGTTTTTTAAGTCTGTTTTTTTTCAAATGCGCCCAGTCGAAAATCCTACGCTATGTTAAGCTGAACAAAAAGTTGTTTTGAAGTATTGAGATAACCATTAGAGAATTGTGAGACAGTAGATAACTAGCTATAGAAAACTTTCAGGAAGCCTGTTATGGCCGATTTTTCGCTTCCACGGAAAGCTTGAAAATAACAAATTTTGTACGTTTTAAACAAAGCATTCAAGTAGCTTTGAGAGAGTTATCAAAGAGTTGCAGGATTTTGCATATATAAAAAGAAAGCGTTCAGGTGGCGAAAATTAAATGAAGCGTCATGGATGTTTCAGGAAACAGCGGAAAAATGACAATGATCAAAAATTAAATTTAACCTTTCTTTCCATCTTTATTTATCTCGTAAAAATATTATGTATTAGATTATTATATTTAAATATTGAAGAATTAAAGAAAAATTATTTACGTCAGACTCGGTATTTTAACTTTTAGTACATTGTTGTCAACCAAAATTTGTAAATAAAAATACGCTGTTAAATTCATTTTCATAAATTATGAAATTCTAAAAGAATAAAGAATATATTATTTATAAAAAATATTCATAAATATCAAGTATAAAAATAATAATCTTTTTTTTTTAATATTAAATATTTTGTCTTTTTTTTAAGAAATTGTATTCATTATTCAATATAAAAGGTTTTCACCGTGTTCGTATTCCTAACCCCAAATTTTGCTCAAGTTATATATAATCTTTTTCGTATATAATTTAAGTGTTTAAAAATAAACGTTTTCTTTGAAAAGTAATTTTTATATAATATATAAAGAATAATTATTAATTGTATAAAACGGATTTACAAATTACTATAGAATTTTTATAATTTTTCGATTTAGTTTAATTTAATGAAATTATTCTAGTTTTCAGGAAGTGTAAAAAAGGTAATTAAATTTCATATTAATTTGCAACTTGTGAAAAGCAAATAGAATTGCTTTCTTACACATTAAACCAGGCATTAGGAAAGCATTCACCAAGCAAACTGGTAGACCTTTTGCTAGAAGCTGTCCACAGATATTCAACAAGCTGTAGAAAAAGCTTCCGGTTAAGAAGTCAGAAAGCAAATATCACAGAATTTTAGGTCTAATGTATAAATAGTTGCCATGAAGCTTTTGAAACCTTCATAACAGTTACCTGAAGGCCATGTGAACCCTTCAGGGAAACTTACGATTTTCGACTGGGCGAAACTACAAATTTTTTTCAAGTTTTTTCATCCCTTAATACAGTAATATACTTAAGGAAACTTTTTTCTTAAAACTTTCTTAGAAACTATGCTGTCCCCATTTACCCTAAATTTTATAAAATTTTCAAAATTTTGGGGTAAATGGGGACAACTAGGGGAATAAAATAACAAAAATGAAACTAATTAACAGTGCAAAAAAAAGAACATAGAAACAAAAAAGTAAGTTATTGGACTAAAATTGTTCATTCAAGTGTAATTTAAAATTTTGAACCGTTATTTTCGAGTGTTTGCATTGGAGCATATTTGTGGTTTTGGTGCATTTTGACATCGGAAATTAATTTTTACGTCGTAGGAAATTGTCAAAAACTGGATTTCGATTGCGAAAAAAAAGTAAATATTAATGTTTTTTTTTGTGATTTTTAGTTGATCGAAAGTGGATTTTTCGATTTCCCCAACGTCATATATACAAGCCATTAAAGCGTTGTAACAATTTTAGTTTTTTCTTTCCTCAACTTTTTCTGTCGTAACCAAACTTGAAGATCGTAACTTACATTCTTTATTTAGGTTAAATGGCACATTATGTTTTTTCATTTACAAAAATATAGAAAATTATGAAAAATTTTCTATAAATGGAAGATTAATTATTTCTATCATCAAATCAAAGTTTTTATATATGATTTCAATCTTTATATTTTTTGTAAATTCAAAAAAAAAGATAAAAAAGTTTTAAAAAGTATATTTAAAAATAAAAAAAATCACCTTTTTTTAAAACTTGAAACAATTTTTTTTTTCGATAATCAATTTTAACCTAGAATTATTTATTGCCGGTGATTTTAAATTTGCATACAAATTTATGTATGATAATTTTGTTTAATCTTTGTTAATTTTCTGTAAAGAATTAATTTATTAATTAACAATTATAATTAATAATTTTCATATCATAATTTTATTGACAATAATTTTTTACAAATTAAGTAACTAATAGTTAATTTTTTGTAAGGATAAAAAAAAAATCTTTTGTGAATTTTAGTATATATATACTTAAAACACATTTTTAGAATGATTAATCCGTAATCGATTGACATAATTTTCGTTTTAAAAATATACTTTTTAGAATAACAGAATATTATTTTTAGCATATATCAGTAGCAGATATTGTTCATATTTTTATTAGAGTATACCAAAAATTGTTTTCAGTTGTTCTGCTCTAATTCACGAAAAGCATACTGAATTTTCTTTTTTTAAACCCAATTGATTCATTCAATATTCGATTTAAAACTTATAAAGCTGCAATAATTGATTATATATATATGCAAACGTGACTAGGTAGTATAATTTTTTAATAATAAAAAAATCAATTATTATTTTTATGGTTTTCTCATTTTTTTTTTTGTAAAGTTGATTATTTTCAAATGATTCTATGATTCTATATCGCTAATATTAGGGAAATTCTAAAAATATTTAAAATCTCAATTTTTAATTTCTGTTTTCAGGTATCTTATTTAAATTATTAACAATCATCACGGGAGAGAAGTTGAAATTAATGATATTTAAAAAAGCACCTACTCTTTGAAGTACTTTTTTTTAAAAAAAAGAAAACATTTTTTTTTAAAGAGAGAAAAGGGAAAACAATTTGTGTAACCAATCCGCGTTGTTCTCAGGAAGCTTTTGAATTGCATCAAAGGCAACAGTAGTTTGGAGGAGTTTTTTTTTTTTCTTTTCTTTTTATCGCCTGTGCTTTTATTATCCAAAAGGATTTCTTGTTAGAAGTATCATAGTGTCAAATGCATAAAAAAGACATTACTGCGTTAGAATGTTCCGCTTCTGATTTTCTGACACTTGACTTATGACCTGTGATGCGCAAGAAGCTTAAGAAGAAAATTTTCATACTTTTTTTTTTTTATTATATTCAGTGCATTTCCCCTCATTTTTTTTTTGCGTTGTAATGGCTGTTCTTTTTATGGACAATAACTTTATTTATGAGTCACATATTACATACTAACGGGCAATAATAAATTTTATTTGATCTACCAAACATACGGATTTCATCTTCTTTTTGTTATTAAGAAAAAATTCCAGTAGATTTAATTTTTTGACAAGAAGAAGAAGAAGAAGTTCCATAACTTACCTTGGATCATCGCAAGAAGTGCAAACATGCACAGCAGCACTGAACTCCCGCTCATTTTCAAAGTCCCTAAACTCCGTTTCTTGCTCACTTCTAGAAAAAAAAAAACAACTGTCAGTTCATTTTTTTCATTCGTCCCACCTTGAAAATGTCAAATTAGTCTCCGTATATCAACAGATCACAATTATATCAACTTTGTTCTAAGGAAATTAAAGATCGACTTCTAATTGGCATCTCTCGGTTAAAAAGAAGTTTTCCCCCCTTTTTTTTTTATTCCAAGAGATTCTTTTCTCCTTCTCAAGATTCGAAAAGCCAGAGGGATTCGATCAGATAACTCAATGAGGTGATTATCGGTTTCCCAAGCGGAAGAGATCAATCTCCCGCGGTACTTGATATATTTATCATTCACTAGAGAACAGTTAACTTCTTTTTTTTTCTCCTTTTCTTCTGCAAAGTGAAAACTTTTCCCCGGCCCCCCAACAAAGTCCAATGACTTTTCCCCACTCCCACTTGACGGTTTAGTTCACACTTTGAGCTCTTCCTGTCATTATAATTCCAGGGAGATTTGTTTCTTTTTGTTTGCAATCTTTCTTCGGGGAAAAAAAAGAATTAAATTCTTTTTTTGATAATTTGAAATGAAAATTGAAAACTATTTTGTACACACGAGGTTTTTGGCCACGAAAGCTCGGAAATTTTAGAGGAACATTCGAATCCGGCGAGCTTGTGGCGCGCACTAAGTTTCAAAAGAGCGTGAGTCGAGCACGTTTTCAGGATCCCCACTCAAATTGTATGAAGGGGTCGCGCAGACTCGAGTTTCGTGTCGACTGTACGCGCAGTATATACTTTTTCCTGAAAAGTATATATATATATATGTTCCTTCTGCAGGAGGTGGAGGTAACGGGGAGTAAGGAGGATAGAATGAGAAAAGGTACATCGGCACTCGGACCGGGCTTGCGGGCGGCTACTCCACAGACCGCGGCCGCAACGGCTAAACTTACGACCTCAAAAGGCTCGTTAGCAAGCTCTCTCCAAATTAGTACAACGGAAACAGGCGCCATAAGTCGCGATTTCAACCGACCAACGACCACCCTTTCGACTCTAGACGCTCTCGTATTCTCCCAAAAACCCCTCATCAGCCTCTAAAACCTCAGATTTACGAAGAAGATCCTTTAAACCAAACACTGTTAAAGGAATTTCTCATGGAGCTAATTACTTACATTTTTTATGAATTTTCATTCCTTGTGCATATCTCACTTCGAGTTTTATGAAAAAAAAAAAAAAAAAAAACAATAATTACTACACCACTAAATCCTAAACTCTGTCTCTGGTTTTGTTGATTACAGAACAAAAAGTCATATACTCGCGCTAAACTTAACATTATTCCCACTCCTTCACATGTTAAGGGGTAGAATTTTCAAAAAAAAAAAAATTTGGCTTAAAAAAATCTTTCAACTTTCGAGAATAAGGGACAAAAGGTTTTAATATAGATAGAAAAATTTTTTCCTTGTTTCGCATTCCTTCCCAAACCGTTCTAGCTGCTCCAAACATGGTCCACATAATACTTTTCAATTTAACTTTGAACTTTTTTAATTCACTAAAAGATGTCATTAGATGGTCAACATAATATGGTCCTGGAATAGTAGACTAATGGTAAAAAATTTGTAGTACTTAAATTTATTATTTTTTCATGCATTAAACACATGTCAAAACTTTAAACGCGTTTTTCTTGAAACACGATTTTTCAAATCTGCGCGCAGTATAACTCAATCAATTTTCCTTTTTTTTTTCAATACAAATTTTTGTCAAATTTTTAAAACAACATTCCTCAAAGAAATACGTGGCCGATTTTCGATATATGATAAAATTTCTATATTTTAGATACGAAAATGTATCGATTTTTTGGTCGAAAAATCGACTTGTAATTTCAAAGGCTCGCCAATTTAACAAAAATGAATATTTTCCAAATTGGCCACGTATTTAAGTAGCTATGTATGAAGAAAAAAAAATTATTTTGTTCCAGATTAACTATTGCAACCTTTGTGCTGCATGCAGTTGAACCACTTCAATAAAAACCATTTTCGAAGAACGGCCATAACTCCGCCATTTTGTAACTTTTTTAGGGTTTCGTGGCTCAGAGCCGAAAGCCTTATAGTTTCGCTTTGGCGTCCGTCAGTCCGTCGTATACTCGTATGGTTGCCATGGTAACCGTTTCCATAGCAACCGTTTCCATGAAAACAATTACAACCCTAATAACACAAGATATCTTGCGATATATTGATAATATCCCGCAGATATCCTAGGGATGTCCTATGGATATCAAAAGGATCTCTTAAGGATATCCAAAGAAGCGGCGGTTTGGATATCCCATGGATATCTTAGGATGTCCACAGGATATCTTCTGGATATCTCTATAGACTTTCATAAATGTCCTCCAGATATCCCATAGACATCGTCAGGATATCCCACAGATATCATCAGGATATCCCACAGATATTATCAGGATATCCCATAGATATCGTCAGGATATCCCACAGATATTTTCAGGATATTCTCAGTATATCTTCTGAATGTCAAGAAGATATTCTCAGGATACTGTTTTTAAAGTCATTATGAGACTACGAGTGAGAATATTCTGTGAATTAAATTTTATATAAATAAAATAAAAAGCAACTTGTTTTTTGAGAAAGTTGTTTAATTTGAAAAATTATTAACTAATTTTTTTCTCATTCGTGATTCATTCCATTATTCATATGCTTAATATTGTCAGAAAATAAATTGGCTTTAAACAATATAAATTCTTCCCCGCAAATAACGAATATCCTATAATATCCCACGGATATCCTGACGATATCCCATGGATATCCTGCGATATAATATCCAATAGATATTTTGTGGATGTCATAGGGATATCCTGTAGATGTCCAATGGATGTCCCATAGACCGGCGGTTTGGATATCCTAGGAATATCCCAAGATATCCTGGGGACCATTCTAGGATATCGACCATTGATATGGATATCCTATGGATATCCTAGGGATATCCTTTTGTTATGAGGGAAATAACTTATAATCTGAATTTAAAAAGCAATACTCTAGATGTAGGCGATTTGCGCCTGCTTCTTTTCCTGATTTTTAAATAATAAAAATATTTTTACAAACATAAAAATATGCCTAGCAATATCCTTCAATTTAATTATCTTCCTATTTCTCCTTCCATGAAAAAAATAGCAAAAAAACGTTAAATTTTAGCCTCCTACAGTGGTGTAACCCCTTAATAATATAATAGTCTTGACCTTAAAAATAAATTATAATATTCTGAATTATGTCTGGCTTTCTCTTAAAGTCAGTGCTTTATTAACAAATGTGTAACGCAATACTTTTTTCCAATTCGGAGGGAATTTTTATCATCAAATTCATGGGATCTCCCATATCCCCTATTTTCGTGGATATTTGTATAAAAGATTTGAAAGAAAGTTGTTTTAGTTCCTTGTGAGAAAAATATAATTGTAAAATACATTTTTGTAGATGACACTATTCTTTGTATTCATAAAGATTTCGTCGAAACAGTTGTAGAAGAATTTCAAAAATTACCAATAAAAAAACTTCTATTTATTCACGAACTAAAAACTGACAAAAAAAATTAACTTTTTAGATTTGATAAGAAAAGATAATCGTTTGATAAACATTTCGTATCAAAAACCAACATTGTCCTGTAGACATTTAAACTTTTTATCAAACTACCCTTTAAATGAAAAACGCAATTTTGTTTTCAACCTTATTGACAGAGAAAATTCTCTCTCCCAACAGATTAAATCACAACAAAAATATTAAAAATGGTTAATAAGTAACAATAATCCCCTTTCACAATGGGGCTAAATCAAAAAACGCAGATATTAGCCCAAAAAGTGAAAGTTGTTAATCGGGATTTTTCGTCTTACACTTGGGATACATTAGACCATAGTGAAGCTAATGTCACGTCACCGTAACATTTTTTTATAAATAAATAATATTTATGTAAAATTAATTTTTTTACAAATACATTTGTAAGGAAATAATTGTTTTTAAATAAACAAATATTTGTAAATAAACAATTATTTATGAATAAACAAATATATTTTTATGAATGGATGATTAAATTTATAAATAAACTAATATATTTATGAATAAATGATTATTTATGAGTAAATCAATTGTTTATAAATATTAAATGTATAAATAAATAATAATGTTAATAACGAAATAATCATAATTAATGTTAAAATATATTTAAAAATGATCAATATATAAAATTATAATATTTCTTATAGTTGTAATGTTCTTGATATTTGGAATTATGAAAGAAGATCTACAAACAAGGAAATCAACATACAGAGTCCACCAACACATAGAAGAAAGCAATAAACACTTTTTGTGTCTGTGAGGTACCGATTTTAAATCTAACCCAAAGAGGCAAGGTGGTACCGCCGCGAGAAATACGTTGGAAAATATAACTATATAAAGGGAAACCTTTCACTACGAAGGCAGTCCCAAAAATTATACGTACGGAGTTCATGTGTTAAAATACAGTTCTAATATATACGGAAGTTAAAAGTTTAAGTTTCAACTATGACATCCATCAATAAAGAACTTTTACGAGCGGTCGTAAAAAATCAATAGAATACCGAATCATCAAAACTCACGAAGAAAATTTGGAAACTCCACCACAACATAAAATAATGTAACCTTACCAAATCTTATGAAATAGATTTTATAATTGTTTGATTGTCTTGTAATAATAATAATTGAGAACATTCAACATTTTTAAATAAATAATTTGCATATTTCATAAAATTGTTTTGCATAAATATTATAATTTTTCATGCCGTTTTAAAACATTTTTTTTTCTAAAAAAAAGTTCTTACAATGAAATAAATATGTACGATAAAAAATTAATAAAGATAAAAATAATTTCAAAACAATAATAAAGTAAATAAAGTATATTGACACTAGCTTAGTAAAGAAAAAGAATTCCAAAACGGAAAAAAAATAAAAAAACAATCCATTTTTTAAACAGGAAAATATTTTCTTTATTTAAACAATGATATAAATAATAATCGTCAACTTTTTTGTGAGTATATAAATTGTAAGAGATTTTTTCATAAAAGGTTAATTTTAAATTTTTACTTGAAGAAGACGAACAAGTATAAAAAAATGGTAAAATTACTTTATTCTATTGAAAATTTATAAAATTGAATAAAATAAAATTATTTTCAATCTAGATGAAGTTTTACACTCCTCTAATTTTTTTCATTGGACTTTTCATCTTAGACGTCAATGGTCAACGCTGTTCAAGAGAAGGAGGATGGGTAAATTTTATTAATTATTATTATTTGTAATAATATTATTAGTAGCATAACAAATTTTTAAAAGGTAAAGTAACATTATTAGATCCACGTTATATTCTGTAATTCGTAAAAAAACTCCTAGTTATAAGAAAGTAAAAATTAAAAAAAATTATTTTAAAAAATTTTACTACTAAAACTTTTTTATTTTCCAGAAAAAGTAATTTAAAAAAAATAATTTAATTTCTAATTTTAAGTGTTTAAACGATCGACAATGTTGTGGAATACTCCAGTGTAATACAAGGGAAGAAGTGTGTCTAATAAACAGAGATTTATATTGTGCGCTTGAAGGACAAATGGTAATATCATCTGTTTCTAAAAATATTAATTTTTACAGCTTAAAAAAAGTTTAATTAAATATCAACATTGCTTCGAATAATTTTATATTTTCAAAAACCAATTTTGAAAATCATTTAATCTCTAATTTTAAGTGTCTCATCAATGATGCACAATGCTGTTCATTTCTCCGATGCAATTTGAATAATAATGCTAGATGTGAAAGAAGAAATTGCCTTCGAGATGGACAACAAGTAATAAAATTTTAATTCGATTATACATAATTTAAATTGCAAAAATAATTTTAAAGATAATAATAGAATCATTTTATCATATTATCAATAATTGCAAATAATATGCCAATTTAATTTATAATTTAATTATTTTTTTTATATAAAAAGTTTAATGAAATTAATTTTTCAATTAACAATGACAAACTTTGTCTCTAACAATGTTTTTAACAATCTAATTTAAAAACTTTTAATATCTAATTTCAAGTGTCGTACTGATCGTGAATGTTGTTTAAATTATAAATGCAATGAAAGACGTAAAAGATGTGAAAAAACAACAGAAAATTGCACTGGAGAAAATCAAGGGGTAATAATAATTTCTTTGTAAAATTAAATTATACTTAAGGGGGGAAACCACATTAGGACGCTGTTTTTTTAACTGTTTTTCGGAATTTCTTTATACAAAAACACAAACTACAAAACATTTTTTAAGTTTCAAAAAATCAAATTAAAACTAAAAACTTAAAGATTGTGTTAAAATTTTGAAAACTTTAAAAATGTTTTGTAATTCCTGAAATATGTGAAAAAATGTTCGAGCATGTTTTTGTACAAGCTGATTTGTAGATTTGTATTTATCTGTGTCTCATAATTTTTTTAAGCATTTTTATTAAAAACATTCCAAATTATCAGCCATTAAACCTGGAGCTGCACCGTCTAAGTTTATGATTGCTGTGTAAGGTGGAGTCCACTTTGATCTAAAAGCAAAAAATGAAAGTTATTCACATTTTATACATACTTTATTATTAATTGAACTAACTTTTAAGTGAAAGTATTGAATTCATACTACTTTTAAGTTAATTTTTGAATGTTGACCTATTATTTTGCATCTTTTCGATAAAAAATTATGGTATTAAATTTTTTTTCTGAAGTTTAGTTCATTTAGTAATAAATTTAATAATGAACAATTTGCAATCTTTTTTGGAAATCAGTCAATAACTTTAAAGTGCTTACATTTTAATCTGCTATTCCAGCACCATACATTAATTCTTCCTCTTCTTCATAAGTCAAATCATAAAATCACAAAGGGACTTCCTCAGCGACGCCGTTACCAACCTGCTTCGCTACTTGAAGCGAGATTCATTCATTGTCTGTAGCACAAAGAGAACATCGAATTTCGCACTAAAAAAAACTTTTTTCTGCATACTTTTAAATACATAAGCTGACTATTTATGCAAAAACAATTCGATTTTATGAACTCTTTAATGTGGTTTCCCCTTTTTAATTCTAATCTTATTCTAACCATTTTCATGACTTTGATTACAACATATAATATTTATAATTAAATTAAAGTAACTGATAATTATTAATTCTTTTATCAAAAACAAAAATTTTTAAATATAATTTTACAATAGTGAAATTTTATTTTAAAAAAATTAGAATAATAAGATTTCTAATAAAAAAAAAATTACTTTTTTCAATTTTTAGTGTACGAATAGCAAACAATGTTGTGGCATTCTCCGATGCAATGAAGAAAGCAAAACATGTAGAAGAAGATTTGAATGAGAATCTAAATTTTTCAATTCGATATTCTTTGGACAAAACGAGTCAAAGGTAATGTCACGGTACCGTGACTTATTTAACAATAAATAAATAATTTTTTATATTATTTTTAATTAAATAAATAAATATGTTTGTAAATAAATGATTGTTTATAAATAAACAATTATTTAGAAACAAATGAATGTATTTCCAAAAAAAAGAATTGTTAATAAATAATAATTAATGTTTATAAAATCAATTACAATGTAATAGTTAATTTTATCAAAAAATATCAAAATAACCCGGATATTAGTCTAAAAGTAAAGTAATCGCCTTGAAAATCGTTACTCGGGAGTTTTTAGGGACGCTGATAACAAATCCGAGGTCAGTTTTTCGAAATTCAAAATAGCGAATCCAATTTCAAGTATTTCAATTGAAATTCATTACTCAGAGGTTTTCTGAGTCGAAAATTACAAATCTGGCGTGAACGACCCCCAAAAAACTAACAAGTAACGAGTTTCAAGTGAATTCGATGTTTTGTAAGAAATTCAATTACCATATTTTTTAAAATCTTGAAACTTATTGAAGGATTCCAAAACTGCGTGTTTTTCTTGTCAGAATCGCTAAAAAGAGAATATTTCTTTTTTGAACCTTTTTGTTCCTTTTAGAAGACCAATTAACATATTTTGAAATGTTTACGAGAGCTTCATAAAGCAATGGAATCAAAACAATTTTTTAAAAGAAGTACGCCATATTAGATCTGCCTTTTTGAATTTTGAAAAATTGACACTGGATTCGAAATCATCGACCCCGAAAACCTCCGAGTAGAATGTTTCAAGCGAATACAAACGATTTTTGAAAAAAGTCTGCCATATTGGATCCGCCATTGTGAATTTTGAAAAACTGACTCTGAGTTCATAAAAACCGACCTCAAAAACCCTTAAGTAAGGTGTTTTAAGTCCAAAAACAAAAACAATAAAATGGCAATTATTTTCAAAATTTTACCCGATCTTAAAAAAGGGCTAACGCCATTGAATACAGCGCACAGTGGTCTGAGAGCCGACTTTAGCTGGCCAAAAGTCAGAAATCCGAAGTATTCAAAATTTTTTTTTTGTGGTTTTATGCTTCATGATATCTATTTTGTTTGATTCAGAATATTTCATCTATTAAAAAAATTTTTTATTGCTGTAACATAGCTTCAACCTTGTCTGTTTCGCGAATATTTGATTTTGTCGTAAAACGCACATGTTTAATTATTCGCAGCTAGTAACCTTTTAAATGTTATTATTTTAATAATGTTTAAATTAATTCAACAGTTCGTTTTACTACTTGTTAGGTATTGTAATAAATATCTCTCAATTTTTAATCCTAGTATTAAAAAAGCACCAATGAAGGTAAGTATTTACAGTGTTTGTATATTACAAAATTGAAAATACTATAAGTTAAGCATGCCGACCTGTGCCGAGATATTATTTACTAGAAAATATTCATGAAGACGTAAACTTTCGGAGGACATAAAAGATTTTTGCCAGTTTTTGCCAGTTTTTGAAATATCCGTCTTTAAATCGACTGGCGCGCGACATATTAGTGCAAACAAATAGGTGCGACGCAACATGCAGTAACTTGTCGTGGCTTGTTGATGCAAAAAAGAAAATAGTAAGTAATCTTATACAAAATATTTCCTCAAATATGTTTTATAGTGTGACTATGCAATATATTTATAATAAATATTAATTTAATTGTTTAGTTAATTTAAGTATTAAATAAATATTTATGTTTTAAATTAATTTTCACGTAAAATAAATATTATTGAAAAATACGTAAGTGAGTAATCTCTAAGAAAAAAGAAAAAAACTAAAATTTCGTAAAGAGTATATTTAAATCAAAATAATATAGATTTTGTCTCTTGTCTTTATTAACAGTCAACGTACTGAATCTTTGTGAATATCTCCTAATCAACTATACTTAAAAATAAAAGTACTGTGCATGTTTTCGTCAACTTTTAGGAATATAGCGAAAAGGGTGAGTATAATAATATCCTCAAGTTTATTAGTTTGTGTAATTTTTTATAATCATTAATGTATTTTTCCAGTATTATGGCAGAATTAGTTTTAAAAAACCGTGATTTGTATGATGAACTGCGAACGCAATCCATTTCATTAACTGCTTCTTCTAAAGCATCTTCACAATGCCTTCTCCTTTATATAAACAAGCAAATACTTGCGGCGAACTTGACTATAACCAACGATTTTTTTGAAGAAAAACTGAAATTGAAAATTGCTACTTTTTGCTCTCACTTAGCGTTTAAATGGAACAGGAAAGGGATTAATCGCACTAACTCTAATTTTCTTTCAAAACACGCTGATTGGCTTGATTTGACGTTCAATCTACCAAGTTTTTCCGGTATATTTTTCAGCATTCATTTTTTATATAGTGTTTTTTATGATCGACAATTTTTAAAGTACATACAATTCTTTTGTTACCTTATTCCCATGCATAATTATAAATTGTATTTTAATTCATTTTCTGAGTAGAAGCGACTAAAGATTTTGTTTATGTTGGAATTATTTCAGAAGCTTCAACCTCGAATGCTGAAAAAGATTTGCAGAATGTTGGTGGATCCGGACGTTCACAAAAAATATTTTCCGAATGTAGTTCTAGAACAAAAAGAAGAAGAACAGAAAAACTACGAGCTAATACATCCTTAGAGGAACTTATTGCTGCGACTAAAACCACTCTGTACAACAAAGGATTAAAGTCTTCAGCTCAGCTCTTAGGACAGTGTATAGAAAAATCAGAATCTGAAACCGTCGAAGTTTCTTGTAGTACCAGTGCGTCCAAGCCTGCAAAGTTAATTACACCGTACACTCCGGAAGAAGCATTAGCTTCTATTTTGAACAGCGGGATGACTAAAGATGCATATGTCCATGAAATGAGATTGGGAGCGAAGCAAAGAAATGTAGATATATACCCTGCGTATGAAAAGGTGCTAACAGCCAAAAAACTATGTTACCCAGAAGGTGTAATTGTTACTGATTGTGGTTCGTATAAATCCCCTTTGAAATAGACCACTGTGCAGCGTACCCAAATTAGGTTAATACACTTTATGCCCAGTTTATTCATTTTTTGAACTAGCACAGTATACTGTAAAAAATTTGGGAATTATTTCCGATAAAAGAAGAGGAAATTTTTCCGAAATCAGGAGGAAAAACATTTTTTCTAAATATTTAAAAGGAAATATTTCCAAAAAGATCAGGAAAACAACGTGCGTTACTTCCGTTTTAAGACGGAACCAGAGTTGCCAATGACCCTACCTAAACGCTACTGCGCTTGCGCTACAACAACTCTCTTATAGGTCGAAAAAAGCGCGCTTATATAAAATGCTTAATAATAAGAAAACGTTAATAAAGCAAAATAAAAATATTTTCACTATTGAATTTATTTTTTTTTGTAAATTATATTACTTTTTAATAAAAAAAATTTATTTCCTTAATGTACTGAAGAATAATAATAATTTTAATAATAATAATATTCATAATTTTATTATATTTATATCATTATTGTCATTATTTTTTTATAAAATATATAATCTATTATTATTATCATCAATATAATATTTATTAATTAATTAATATATTATTTATTATTATTATCATTATTTTCAATAAATTATTATTAATTAACTATGAATGTATTACATCTATATATTTCAAAAAAATGAATCGAAATTTTTTTGTACTTTTTTTACCAATTCAAATTTTCCTCATAAAAAAGTACAAACAAATTTCGCTGAATTTTTCTAAAAATATATATGTATATTTCATATATAATTAATTAATAATAATTTAATAATAATAATAACAAAAATAAATAATATATTACATAATTAATTAATAAATATTAAATTGATGATAATAATAATAGATTATATATTTTATAAAAAAATAATGAGAATAATGATATAAATATAATAAAATTATGAATATTATTATTATTAAAATTATTATTATTCTTCAGTACATTAAGGAAATAAATTTTTTTTATTAAAAAGTAATATAATTTACAAAAAAAAATAAATTCAATAGTGAAAATATTTTTATTTTGCTTTATTAACGTTTTCTTATTATTAAGCATTTTATATAAGCGCGCTTTTTTCGACCTATAAGAGAGTTGTTGTAGCGCAAGCGCAGTAGCGTTTAGGTAGGGTCATTGGCAACTCTGGACGGAACAACGTGGAACATTTTAGTTTTTCACTTTTAAACGACAAATTTTTTCTAGTTTTTTGATTTACAATCACATAATGTATTTTTTTCTAATATTTTTTTCATTAATATTATAACTTTATACTTACTAATAGGAACAAATTCTATTATAATTCTACATAACTGACGACTTTTACAAAATTTTTGGTCTCTTCTTTTCTAATTTAAACGTACAAACAACGACTTTCACGAACGCTATGTTTGAACTGACACCAGCACTGCTATAATGAATTTAGGGGCCTATTATGACTAAATTTAGTTTCACTATGGTCTAGTGTAGCCAACTATAAGACGAAAAATCCCAATTAACAACTTTCACTTCTTGGGCTAATTTCAATTTGGCACTACTGTGCAATTTAATATACGCTATTTTTGAGGTCAGTTATGACACCAAGAATATTATTAAAGTCTAAAGGTCCGTGATCAATAGTTGGTACAGCTAAAGAGATTAAATCGCCAATGTTCAAGGCTAGAAATGTAGCTTCAAAAAATTTGATCATCTTCTGGGGCGGAAAATTTTTAGCGTTTAAAACATTCATTTTGCATCTCTTTTAGACGTTTTCCATTTACACTGTAACGGTGCATTTTGTCGCGTACAAATGACTTAAAAATAGTAAATTTAAATAAATTTTGTTATAACACTTTTTATTGTGAGAAAGAAAAAATACAAATTGTCAAATCATTTTGTTATTTGGGGGTGCACTTCTCGGGATCAGGAGTATTTCGGGCTCAATTGGAAATAACCAAACAATCGGCTGAAACTGCACTGAATGCACTTTTAAAACTGTTATACAGTACTCATGTTAATAACTGGGACGTTAAAGAAAAATTACTGACCTCTCTAGTCAACAGTGTACTAATGTACGGGATAGAAGTTTGGGGAGTGCGTCTTTTAGCAGAAATTGATTCAATACAGACCACATTCTACAAAAGACTTCTCTCACTTCCCTTGTATTGCCCGAAGTATGCAGTGAGTGTCGAAATAGGTGCCCCTCCCTTATCTAGTGTTGTGATTAGACGGATTTGTAATTGGATGGAGAAATTGCAGAGTATGGAGCCTGCCAGATGTCGTAAAATTTGCTTTAACCAACTGATAGATTTATCTAACACAACTACCGCTAATAATAAATGTAACTGGTTTTCTCAAACAGAAAATATTATTAAAGTAATTGATCCAACCCTCCATTTTTCACCATCTAATATAAGTAACCAAAAAACCAAAATAATAAAAACTTGTATTGAAAAACGGGTAGCCGAGGACAGAGAAAGAGTTGTACAATCTCGCAGTCTCCATGTTTACTCTGCAATTACGTTGGACCGGGAAAAATTATAACAAATAACAAGAGATTCTTCTATCAAACAAACGAAAACTGCAATCTATGTTTTCGTTCACATGTGGCAAATTTGAATCACTTCCTCCTGGAATGTTCAGTTTTTAACGACATCAGGAAAAAATTGTTAATAAACACTAATGAGAGTGTATTAGAATTACTTAATGCGAAAACTAAGAAAAATGTCAACAAAATGTACGAGTTTATTCTAGAAATTGTAAATTGTAAAAGTATATAATTTAAATAAATTTTGTAAATAAACGACACCAGGGTGGGAATCCAGCCACACTGGCTGTAAAATGTTATATATTATAAAAATTGTTCTCTTATGATACTCACTTCATTTTGTTTAAATAATAAATCCACGTATTAACAAACCAACTTGCCAAAGTCGTTAGATTAATAGTCGACTTGTAATAAATAAATTCAATCCTGATTTGTCCTTTCGTTCTGTTATGAAAACTCTCGCGAGGGTTTTGAGTATTCTCGCCGGGTCATAAAGACATTGAGGACATCACTATCTATCATTGAAATTAGAAGTCATCAAGGGAAGAGCTTGGTGGTGTATATATTTGGATAAGAGTCCTGAATATTCAAGAACACTAGTAATACGAAATTGCTGTTTTGTTGACGATCTGTCAAATCAATACTGGCAGTAAATTTCCTATAGACTTCTCGCATCAATCAATTTTACATCGGATAGTGTAGGGATCTGCGTTACCGGCGACTGCGTATCGATTACCGGTCGCGGGTATTATATTATTGAATATTAATTCATCTCAATGACACCGAGAAGAGAGGCCGCTGTTTAGCGACGCTTTCGAGTTTGACTCGTCAGCCATATTACACTCATTCTCATCCTGGTGTTCGTAGAGTCAAGTTTTGTTCTATTCTTTTTCGTGTAAAATAATTAAAATTATAAAAATGAGACGAGGCGTCGTCGTCAAGTGGACGGTGAGTCCCAATAAATTAATTAGGAGTCGTTCCTTTTAGAATCGATCTCATTATTATTAAAGTATAATTGAATAAATAAAATATAAATCTTGTCTTTCGGCTTTCTGCCATCATTTAACTTTTTCTAAAATTTGAAGTGAATATTAATAAATAGTGTTATTGTTAAAAATCTTGTCAAAATTAATGGTGTTTATCCTTATCCCCCCCTCTACGTGATCTACTGTTGCTGTAAAGTAACAATGGAATTCCTGTGCTGGTTTTAGTTTTTCCTAATTAGAATTAAAAAAAATTACTGTCGGATTATTTAACTTTTTTTTTTTAGTTATTTTCCATAAAATAACTTGGCGTCTTGGCAAAATTAATAATTAAAAAGTGTAGACAACGCTGATTGTCTTGAAAATGTAATAATAAATAATTTAAAATAAAAATCAATAATAAACTAAATCAACGTTAAAACACATAATGAACATTTTTAAAGAATAAAATTTTTTTATCTTTAAATTTGCTATCGTCTACTGTTCAGCCGTTAGACAATTAACCGGGCACCTGCAATGTTTTCCAAAAGTGTTTAACAAGTTTGCGGTAATTTTTTCTAGGAAATTCCTTTGGAGTCAACTCTCGAGAAATTTAATGGAATTTCCCGGGAACATTTTCACTAATTCAATTTAGAATGTTTGAGTTGGTGTAGTTTTATATAAGGAGTTTCACAGATTTAAAAAATGTTAATAAAATTAAATTGGGCATTATTATAACGATAGAGTTAAAAAAATTGAATTTAAAAAAATGTCAATTTTTCATTGTATGAAGGAAAAAAAAAGTCAATTACTTTTGTTCCGAATGCATAAATGTCATCAGAAGTCTGATGTGTAGCATTTGATAAAAGTTTGAGAGACAGAATATCTCTGTGATGTGCTTCTGCTAAAAGTGAAGTTGGCAAGTTCTATTTTTGTGTTCAACTTGGCGCGCAGCGTGGGGTTGGAAATTCTTTTAACTAAGTAATCGACGCCGTAGTTTTAACAATAACGTGATAATGCCATAGCAAGGTTGGGGTAAAGTAATTTAGGTCGTTACCATCACAGGGCTTAAGTAGTAGTGGTTCCCGCGCCCTCTAGTAGCACAAGAGTCTGCGACATGGCAGACTAAGTGAAAAGTTTCCTGACTATCCGGACAGTAGACCTAACCCCCCTTTCCCTTCGAGTTCTCATCCATAGCTTTCTCCTGTCGTCATTCGAATTAGTCTTCAATGAAGTTAGTTTGTATAAAAAATTAACATACTTTCCCTGTCTACGTGCTGAGATAACTAGATAAAAATCCATATATACTCGATGCAAAAAATTTCCTTTAAAAATCATAAAAAAAAAAATTATTGAATTGAAATATGAATGAATTTAAAATTTCCCTCCCTCAGGGGGCGTATAGTTAATAACAAGTACACATTTAATACTTTGAAGCTGTGCTTTAACGATTTTTAACCTTTTTTTGCGATTTGCTTTCGTTGAGGCAGAAAATTCAACTTGGGGGCAAAAGAGACTCCAGTGCAGAGGAGGTATCACACAGAAGTATGCGGGTGAAATAAAATCGAATCAAAATGAAACAGGAAGCTTTGCGATTGATGATCAAAGCCGATACGATACGTCTTGCTCGTTATAGATGTGATCACAAAGTTTCAAGAGGCACTTTTTGTTCGTCTATGGGTGTTTTTTTTTGAAACCGTAATTGCTTCAAGATGATACCGATCAATTTTCTTTGAGGTAATCCATTTTTACTGCAAAAAGATTTCGTTGACACCCCTGTGTAAGATTGATCAAATATTAAAGATTTAGTCAATTAGAAGAATTATTTGACAAATC